CATGTCTTTATATATATATATATATATATATATATATATATATATATATATATATATATATATATATATATATTTATATATATTTATATATATATATATATATATATTTTTTTTTTTTTAAATATTTTTTTCTTTTTTCTTCGATTATCTACAGAACAAATCACCAGTGTTGCCAGATTAATATAAAAAGTTTAAAAAAATAAAAATAAAATAATAAATAAATATATACACACACACACACACACACACACACACACACACACACACACCTATATATATTTTTAATGTATTATTTTTTATTATATATATTATATTATATATATTTTTTTATTATTATTTTTTAAAACATTTTTAATGTATTAGTTTTTTAAACATTTTTATTATGTTCAGATGACTTGGAGGGTTTTTTACATTTTGGTGTTTTTTTTTTTTTAAGATTTATTTTTGGCCTTTTTACCTTTATTATATAGGACAGTATTGAGACAGGAAGCGAAGTGGGAGAGAGAGAGAGAAGGGGTAGGGTAGGGAAATGTCGTTGAGCCGAGATTCTCGCGACTCGCGACGCCCTGACGTGCTATTGCACCATATGTCGGCGCGCTAACCACTAGGCTATTGCGCCGACCATTTCGGTGGGTTTTGGATATTTTTTGGGCTGGAATCAGTCAGCTACATCTGGCAACACTGCAAATCACTGTTGTCTGATAAATTTTCTAATTGTCCTAGCTTGCCTAAGTTACCTAATTAACCTAGTTATTAGATATGAGCTATTATTTGACCTAATATTATATATTAGCTATTATTACTATCTTCGCTCCATTAAGCACTTGGAAAATGTAATTGATTTTTTTTTTTTTTTTTACTGCACAATTTCTTGACTAATCCATTTTAAAGAACACTGAGCTGTAACCTTGTTATCTGATAAAACCGCATTGTGACTCGTTAGATGAGCATGTGACAGTAACTGCAGTTTTTTTCTCATGAATTTCATTATGCTCTGTGACTGGAACCGTTTGAGGTACATTCCTCGATCTTTAACTCAAAAGGCTTTTGGAGATATAAATACCTGATCTCTGCCACGGCAAGCGAGCGGAGAATGGATTTCTCCTCTAAGTGGATTTGCTAAGGAACAATTATATTTTGTAAAGGCACTTACATTTCAGTGCGGCAACACTTTGAGATCGAATTAGGTAATTTAATAAAGCTTGTTTTATTATGTAAGACACAAAAAGCAAAGCACGGCCGAAAGATCAAGAGTCAACAGTGCATTTCTACTTTTGGTCATGAAATGGTTTTATAATTGCAATTAAATTTATATACACAATTGAAGCCAGTATTATTGGCCCTCTTGAATTATTATCCCCCCTGTTTATTTTTTCCCCTAATTTCTGTTTAACGTAATGAAGATTTTTTTCAACATATTTCTAAACATAACTTCTATTAATAACTTCTACTAATTTCTAATAACTGATTTATTTTATCTTTGACATGATGACAGTAAATAATATTTGACTAGATATTTTTCAGAACACTTCTATACAGCTTAAAGTGACATTTAAAGGCTTACCTAGGTTAATTAGGTTAACTAGGCAGGTTAGGGTAATTAGGCAAGTTATCGTATGACGATGGTTTTTTCTGTAGACAGTCGGAAAAAAATATACCTTGAAGGGGCTAATAATATTGACCTTAAAATGGTGTTTAAAAAAAAAAATGCTTTTATTCCTGCCGAAATAAAACAAATAAGACTTTCACAAGAAGAAAATTTTTTATCAGACATACTGTGAATAATTCCTTGCTCTGTTAAACATAATTTGGGAAATATTTGAAGCAGAAAAAAAATTAACAGGAAGGTGAATCATTTTGACTGTATATTTATTAGAACACAAAATAAATGTGCTGTCAGGGGGGTTGCATTTGTGTGGACCTCATGCTGTGGCCGCTGGTCAGGAATAATAGAGTAAAGCCGCTCACTGCACATAGCAGGTGGCAGATGCTTTGCTCTGGCTGTAACATTAATGATTCAATACTTTGAGTGAGGTTGGTTCCCTCTTGCCTTTTAGCCGTTTGCAAATAATGCATGTGTTGTTTAGTTTGATTCAATGTGTGATATTCATGATTTTTGCTATAGATGTGTACTGAATCAGAAACACAGATTGATTTAAAATCAAATGGATGTATTACTGAGTGAAACAGAAAATAAAAGAAGAAGAAGAAGATATAATAATAATAGTCTGGTAGGACTGGGTTTCCCAGTGTTGCGTTGTGGCTGGAAGGGCATTCGCTGCGTAAAACATATCCTGAATAAGTTGGTGGTTCATTCCGCTGTGAAGAACCCTAATTAGTAAAGGGACTAAGCCAAAAAGAAAATGAATGAATGAATAAATGGCAGGACCGGGAGTTTGGTAAGCATTTTTAATGTTTTTGTTGAAAGAAGTTTTGTCATTTAAAAATATTTTAAATATAAAATGCATTTAGTTTGATGTGATTGGGTGTTTGCCCGAGTCTCCATTGTCACATGATCTTTTAGTAATTTTTCTAATACACACAATCTTTAGTCAGGATTTTTTTTATTATTAGCAAAGTTCAAAAGAACAACATATAACAAATATTTTGTAACTTAATATACTAATAATAGACTGGCATTTTATTTAATGCATACTTGCTGAAAACTTTTACAATCATTTACAATATGCATATACATACAGTGGAGTACAAAATTATTAGTCCTCCTGTGAAATTTAAATTTTTCTTTAAATATTTTACATGTGATGATTAACAGAGCAAGATGACTTGTAAAATAATACATACTGACATGTCATCATGACAAAGACAAAAGAAATTTGTTATTAAAATGATTATTTTTTTTTACAAATTTGTTGACAATAATCTTGTTAAACAGCACTTAAAAATATTTGGAAAAGTATACGTTTTGATAAATACAGTGCTCAGCGTAATTGAATACATCCTATTTTAAAAATGAATATATTTATCCATTTCTCAGTGAATATTTTTTGGTGCTTTTGAACAAAGAATATTTATTAAACAGATAAATTTAGTAAAATAATATTTTAGTCACCAAATATCTTTAAAAAAAGAAAAATAATAGATTTAAATTATTGCAAAATATTGCAAATACATTTACAGCTACTAAATTTCAACAAAAGTTTGTATGTTTTTTGTTTCTTTAGATTTTTTCTATTTTTTTTTTTTTTTTACATTTTTATTTAATATTTCCCCCCTAACATATACATTTGCGCTACTCCTTTTTGGACCATTATCATACATTATTTTATTAGACTTACTCCAGATTTGGCTTCAGTACTAGCTAATTTAATGTATATGCACAAATATAATATTGTGAAGCATCCTATTGAAAATATTTATTTGAATGAGTGATTTGCGAGGGGTGTACTCATATGCTGAACACTGTATATATAGTTGAAGTCAGAATTATTAGCCCCTCTTCAATTTTTAAATTTTTTTCCCCAAATGATGTATAACTGAGCAAGGAAATTTTCCCATTATGTCTGATAATATTTTTTCATCTGGAGAAAGTCTTATTTGTTTTATTTCGGCTAGAATAAAAGCAGTTTTTAATTTTTTTAAAAACATTTTAGGGTCAAAATTATTAGCCCCTTTAAGCTATATTTTTTCAATAGTCTATAAAATAAACCATCGTTATACAATAACTTGCCTAATTACCCTAACCTGCCTAGTTAACCTAATTAAGCCTTTAAATGCCACTTTAAGCTGTATAGAAGTGTCTTGAAAAATATCTAGTTAAATATGATTTACTGTCATTATGGCAAAGATAAAATAAATAAGTTATTAGAAATGAGTTATTAAAACTTTTATGTTTCGAAATGTGTTGAAAAAAAATCTTCTCTCTGTTAAACAGAAATCGGGGGGAAAAATAAACAGGGGGGCTAATAATTCTGACTTCAACTGTAGGTTATAATTTGGTGCTTTTAAACAAAGCAGATTTATTAAACAGATATATTTTAGTCACTGAACATCTTTATAAACAGAAAGATAATACATTTAAATTAATGTAAAATATTGCATATAGATTTACAGCTACTAAATTCCAACCGAATTATATATATTTATTTATTTATTTTTATTTATTTTATTTTATTTTTTTTGCTATTTTGTTTTTTACATTTTAATTAAATATTTTCCCCTAACACATTCAATGTAAAAAATGCAGGGTTCCACACAAATCGTTTATGTTGTCCCAACACAAATTAACACGATTAAATTATTTTAACACTTTTAACAAAATTTGTGGATTGAACATAAAAAAAATCAGTTGTCCCAATGAAATCTTAAGAACTGTGTTGTTTCAGCTCATTTTAAATAAGTAGTTTGAACGAGCAACTAAATATATATTTTTTTGAGTGTACATTTGCTTCAGTACTAGCTAATCTAATGTTTATGCACAAATATAATATTGTAAAGCATCTGAATTGAGTGATTTGTGAGGGTTGTACTCATATGCTGAACACTGTATGTTATGTGTTAATTTTATAACACATAATCTTCATTAATTCTAATAAATTCTAAAACATTTCTTCTGATTTTCCAAAATAAAAACATTTCTTCTTACGTCAGAAAATCCTCAATAGAATAAATGAGACAGGTAAAATGCCTTATCAAACACCCCTAATGTTTATTTTATAAATTATGCACAACTACACCAGCGACGTCCCAAACCAAAAACCAAACAAACAGTAACACTTTCTGTTTGCTCTGCATCTTACTCTCACATGCACACCCACCATTATTTCCATTGTTGTAAAGCATTCTCTGCACTGCAACGAATCTGATTATTTCTTAAGCCATTCCAGCATTAGGGTGTCTGCAGTGCCTGTAGTGGAGTTCAGGCGGTGTAGCACGAGTGCTGACCCCCACCCGCACATATAAATCAGGATAACACCAGCTGCCTGGTGACATCACAGCCCCCCCTGCATGCTGATTGGACCATCGCTGCCATAGCCGGTTAGTATGGCTGCAGCGGTGGGATGCTGCTGGAACTAGAACAGACCTGAACGGAGCATCCACACCAGCACCATTCCCAAAAACAGGAAGCCGCCTGCCTTTTTAAAACTGCCCTCGATTAGAAGCAGAGAGAGAGAGGGAGAGAGAGAGAGAGAGAGAGAGAACAGGAGGAGAACATTCAGAGCTCAGTCGCGCTGTGTTTTCACACGGAAAGCTTCTCTCCCCGGAGGAAATAAAGGATAGCTGATGTGGTTTTCCACACGCACACTTACACACATGAAGGACACAAAGAATCAGCGTGCACAATGGCTCACTTTAAGGACGTAGCTGTGAAAAAGACCACGTCTCTGAATCTGGTGACGGGATTCTTTCAGTATCTTCGCGGTAAGTGGGATGTCTCCTGCTCTCATCCGACTGGATCTTTCAGGAGTGAGGGATTCACTTGTACATGTTCACTGAATGTAGGTGAAACAGATGCATGATCCAGATATGCAACGGCACGTCTCTCTGGGTCATATGGCTCACTAGACATTATTGGCCAGCTGAGGTCTTCCTCGTCTTCTTCCCCCTACTCGGGAGAGGTAATCTCAGCTTTTTGGGCTGATGTTATCCTCTTTACAGCTGCGCATGTTGGATTATGACGGCTGTGGTGTGCTTAAGGCTGCACCGGCATGCCATGTGTGCTGTGGTACATGGATGCTTTTTTAATAACATACATCATGCATTGCATTAGGACGTGCATGCAAACCTTAGGATGTTGTGTGTTGTGGATATCGCTGGCCTGTTGTCTGAGCCTATCGTGCGTAAATATGTCTGGTGGGTGTTTGTTGGTGACCTAAATGACCTTATCTGTGTCTTGAAATGCTCTGCAAGATTTGCATATTGTGCTAATGGATGCAAGTCAAGCTTTTCTAGTAGTACATTTAGACTAAAAAGAAAAAAAAGACCAGTGCTCCAGTGCTCATACTTGTAGTAAGTTAAATAGTTGCAGTGTTAAATGTTTTATTTTTTACACACCAGATGATTTGGATCAATATGTAGTCCCTGTAAAGTTATAGTTCACCCAAAACTGATCATTCATCATTTACTTGTCACAAACCTGTTTGAGTTTCTTACTTAGGTAACACTTTATTTTGATGGTCCATTTAAGTATTAGTAGACTGTCTGCTTAATATCTGTTGATATGCTCCTTCAACAGACATTTAACTGACTATAAGAAACTCTGAAAGTACATGTCAACTTACACTAACCCTAACGCCAACCAGGGCTGGATTAACATAAAGGCTAGCTGGGACTGAAGCCCCAGGGTCTACGGAAGAAGGGGGCCCTTGATTGGTTGAATAATTAATTTGGGCTATGATGCGGGAAATGCCTCTTTGCGTTATGCTTTTTCTTGTTGATGATGTGTAGTATTTATTTCAGTTCGCTGCTGTTCAAAAACAGTGACGCTGGTGCTAAACTGGGGCTCGGAGCGGATGTAGCCCAATCAGCATCTTGAATAGCCCTGTTAAGGCACCCATAAGGGTGATCAGATGTCCTAATTTTCCGAGGACAGTCTTATTTTGGCACTACCGTGAGAACCGTTCAGTCAAAGGTAGGCTAACCAAGCTTGTCGTAGGAAAAAAAAAAATTCAAACAGTCTTCATCATTGATACACTTTGGTGTATCATTGGTACATGTAGTAACAGAAGCTGGGATGGGCTGAATCATGCTGAATGGACTCATAACTAAAGCAAAGTATCGGCCGCGCGGTGGTTACAGCTGGACTCAAGGAACCGGCACGCACCCGCACAATCCTTACAAAACACAATATAACTGAGACAGTTGTCGGAAAAATTAAATAGCGTACACAAACAGTTATCAAAATGTCTATCGTTGCAGAACATGTATCTTAATAAAATACACTCGGTTATACTTTACAGTGTCTAACTAGTTAGAAAGCCAATTTTTTTATGAATATTAACTGTGCTCAAATTAGGAAGTATTGCAGGTGGTTTTTGTTTGAACTTTAAAGTTCATATTATGTCATTACTTGATTTTGTATAGCCTGCATATTTAAAAAAAATTTATAATAATAATTTATAAAATATTAATAATAATAATAACAACAACAAAAATAACACCAACTATTTATATATATTTTTTATTTTATTTTATAATTTTTAGTTTGGTAAAAAATTAAAGGGAGCCCTTGGATTTGCTGTAACCCCAGTGCCCAATGTGTCCTAACCCGGCCCTGACCCCAACCTAACAAACAGTCTATTTATAATCTAATAAGAATTAGTTGACATGTAGATGCAATGTAACTTAAATTTAAGAAATGGATTATCAAAATAAAGTGTGACACTTTCTTCTGTCAAACACAAAAGAAGATATTTCAAAAATGCTGAAAACCTGTAACCATTGACATTCATAATAGGTAAAACAAATACTATGGAAGACAATGGTTACAGGTTTCTAACATACATATATTTCAAACCAACTTAGTTTGTGTTTAACAGAAAATAAAAGGTTTGAACCCACTTGAGCGTGAGTAAACAGTGAGCACATATTCATTTTTTGGTGAACTATCTCTTTAAAGCTACACAGCAAGAACATGGCAACCACGTGAAGCTGTGGAAATAAATAGCAACACCCTAGCAACCACTCTGAACACTTTTACAGTCATTTGGAAATGCTTAAGAGTCTGCAAAGAACATCTTAGACACAACAGGTCTAGTGCATAGCAACACCCTGAAAACGTGTCAGAAGTCATTTACAGAATAATTTCTGTACAACATACATAACATCTTAAAGCTGGCTCACGCTGTGAGGTTTTCATTCATTCATTAATTAATTAATTAATTAATTCATTCATTCATTCATTCATTTGTTCATTCATTCATTCATACTACTGGTACATTCACAGTACTGGGAAACAACCCTACACTCTCACATTCACACATACACTCACATACTACGGCCAATTTAGTTTATTAATTTGACCTTTAATGCATTTCTGTGGACTGTGGGGGAAACCAGAGCACCTGGAGGAAACCCACATCAACACGGGGAGAACATGCAAACTCCACACAGAAATGTCAACTGGCTCAGTCAGGAACTAGCGACCTTCTTGCTTTGAGGCAACAGTGCTAACCACTGAGCCACCATGCCGTCACATACATAGCATCTTAAAACAAACAGTAATGGTGCTCTGAAAAAAACACATTGACATCTTATTGACTGCATAGCAAGCAACACCCTGGCAGCTACTTTTAACCTCCATAACAACATAATGACACTGGCCTTACAGTAACTCAGAATATCCGTTTGGCTGCATGGCAACAACCTGGCAACCACTTAGAACATCTTTGAAAACAAGTAGCAACACTCTGGCAACCCCTATGAACATGTTTACAGCCACCTCACAATGCCCTGGAAACTGCCAAGAACTTCTTAGTAACTGGATAATGATGACTTGACAGCTACTCAGAATAATTTATAGTTGTGTTACAAGACGCCGGCAACCTCTTTGAACACCTTAGAAGCCACATCCTGCTTTTGCCACATTTGCCATTTTAATATTTCTCATACAGAGGAGAATGGCAATGCTATGATAAATTGGTAGTCACACAAGTGCAACGTCTAGCAAAATTGAGCCATACTGACAGGAAAAAAACATTACAAAATCTAACAATTTACTTGAAGTCCAGAGCCTGCTGAAACTACACCTAATAGAGAATGGGAATGGGACATTATAGTTCAATGCATTATGGGAATTTGGGACACAGGAACCTGGATCCCATTGATCTGTTTAGGTTTATTGTATCATAAACTATCACACTCTGATTGCAATAAATTGTAAGCACTCACACTACAAATAAAGAAGAAAATTGTACATGGATGCATTTTCTTGTGGCAGCTTGTTGATAACAATAAAAAAAAAAAAAAAAAAAAAAATATATATATATATATATATATATTAATAATAATTTGGCGAGGCAGTGGCGCAGCAGGTAGTGCTGTCGCCTCTCAGCAAGAAGGTCGCTGGGTTGCTGTCTCAAACCTTGGCTCAGTTGGCGTTTCTGTGTGGAGTTTGCATGTTCTCCCTGCCTTTGTGTGGGTGTCCTCCGGGTGCTCCGGTTTCCACCACAGTCCAAAGACATGTGGTACACGTGAATTGGGTAGGCTAAATTGTCCGTAGTGTCCGTAGTGAGTGTGTGTGTGGATGTTTCCCAGAGATGGGTTGCGGCTGGAAGGGCATCCGCTGCGTAAAAACTTGGATAAGTGGGCGGTTCATTCCGCTGTGGCGACCCCGGATTAATAAAGGGACTAAGCCGACAAGAAAATGAATGAATGAATGATAATAATAATTCCTGACATCTTTATAGCACTTTTCTGGACACTCAAAGCACTTTACACATTGGAGGCGATCTCCTCATCCACCAACAGTGTGCAGCATCCACCTGGATGACACGACGGCAGCTTTATTGCCACACCGCACACCAGCTGATTGGTGGAGAGGAGACAGTGATGAAGCCAATTATAATATGGGGATGGTTAGGAGGATAGACGGAGGCCAGTGGGCAAATTTGGCTGGGATGCCAGGGTTAAACCTCTACTCTTTTTGAAGGACAACCTGGGATTTTTAATACCACAGAGAGTCAGGACCTTGGTTTAACTTCGCATCCAAAAGACGGCACTCACTGAGCAGTATACAGTCCCCATGAACATACTGGGGCGTCAGGACCCACACAGACTGCAGGTTGAGCGCCCCCTGCTGGCCACCATATCTGGCAACAACCTGGCTTTCTTATGTGGTCTCCCATGCAGGTACTGAACTGGGTGCAGCCCTGCTTAGCTTGAGTGGGAGTTTCAAAGATCTAGCTGCCAGCTACCCTAAATATCATATGTAATGTATATTTTCCAATTCTCAGACACTCAAAGAGCATTTATAAAGATGCTCTCAGCCCATTTCATCCAGAGTGTTTGTAATATGTTTTTCAAAACACATTACTATAAACACATTACTATATGTGGTGATTTGCATTGGTTTACATTGTGGGCTCCTGAGCGAGTCAGACAACACTCATAACAGACTAACAATGTAACAATACGCTGGCAACACAAGTACAACCTACAGTAGCAAACAATCAGAACATATATATATATATATATATATATATATATATATATATATATATATATATATATATATATATATATTATAGGTGGGCATAGATTAATTTTTTAATCTAGATTAACCTAGATTAATCTTGGAATGAAACTAGATTAATCTAGATTAAAATGGCTAATTTGAATTCTGCCGAAGGCATTCAGAACATGTGTGCTACCCAAATAATAAGTCTTTGAGAAATGTTTCTCAAGCCAGGTGGCGCATTAGA